TGAGAAGCAAAGCGGCTCACAGAAAACAGGCACCTCAAAGGGAGCAAAAAACTACTATGTTCACGTCATTACTCCTAGGTAGTGCTAAAAGTAGTGAATGCTTTTAAAAATCGAAGTACAGCAATAAGGTTGTGAAAAAATGTAACTTTTACCTCCCTAGCTGTCTATCCCATATTCCAGTAATAAAATATATAGTTTTCTATCAGAAAAAGCATTTAACCTTAAAATAATCTTGAGCTTTGACCTACATCTTAAGGTGAAGAGTATATCCCAGGGCTGTGGAGTCGTGTAAAAATCTACCGACTCAGACTCCAACTTTTCTTTACCATCCGACTCCGACTCCGACTAGGGGCAGACTTGTTACCGAAAGAGACCCGGAAATTCTGATGTCATCACGTGACCTCAGAATAAAATATTCAATAAATAGAATTGTAATAAAGATAGAGTGTAGAAACTTTTTATTCCAAAGCTAAAAAACTTTTCTAAGTAATATATAAATATGTATTTGATAATTTTTACTTTTCCGGCTGTTATATATAACTTGTTATATATAACAAGTGTAGTGCTTGGTCAAAAAATGACTCCTTCCAAATTTTTATATTTTTGGACTCGGGACACCTTGAAATTTCGAGATATGCAAAAGATTCGAGGTTTTCTCTATATGTGTGGATGTTAGACTGTGTGTGGGGGGCATGATTTCGTTCACCCTGTTTGAAGCCTAATAATTTTTGTGGTCAGAGTGGTCAGAATAAAAGTCGGATGGTTTAACACAGGAATTAGTTATTAAGCGTCAAAGTGGTTGAACTAAATCATGTCCCCATATACATTCTAACCTCTTAGGCAAGAACATCTGAACGGGTTTTACTGTACTATTATAAAATAGCAAAAAGGTTACTTTGAGGGTAAAGACGAGTTTTATTTTAATTTATTATATTTTGAACGCTAATAACGAGTAAAATATTCATTAAGAGATATGACCACTTTTATGTCTTCACCCTGTCGACCTTTAATTAAGAACCAAAATTTAATAGTATTAATGCCCCTTTATATGCAAGCTACAGTACCACATTTCGTTTCTTAAACTTTACCCGTTCTGAGATACTGTTTAATATCTCAGAACAGAAAATAAGGAAATTAAACAAGTTAGACGCCAACACATACGTGCACGCGAATTTTTCCCCTTTATTGACTTTTTTAGGGGGTTTGGAAGGACTCCACACATGTAGATTTGCAAAAAAAACTTGGAGGGTCAAATTTGACACGATTCCAATAGTTTTCCATTTTATATACAAAATAAGTTGGTAAGTAAAAAGGAGTCGGAGTCGGCGGATTTTTTGACGACTTTGACTCCGACTAAAACATCAAAACTCCAGGACTTTGACTCCGACTCTGACTCCACAGCCCTGGTATATCCTATTGTGAAATTTCCCACTTTTCCATTGCCAGGCCAAAAATATATATTTCCATTGAAAAAAAAAAACTTGATTTTCAAATGACCTTGAAGGTCACGTTCAAGGTCACATCCAAGATAACCAATTATTAGTTTCGAGTCTGGAACATTTTTACATCTGGATTTCAACTTAAACTAAATAAAAATGTTCTAGGGTTTTTTAGGAATAAATTAGTTTACAGTTTTTTGAATTTATAAAAATACTAACTGTTACTGGCGACTTCGCCCGCAGAGGTTTTGCAAGCAAACCCCATTTATATTCTGTATTTCAACAACCATAGAAATTGTTATATAATCCTACCACTGAAAATGATGAGAATTACTCAAAATCAAACGAACTATTTTCAATTTGATCAATTTTCTGGAACGTTTACAATCGTTCTATAATCAAACCAATATGCAATAACAAATTCGAATTTAAAAAGATTCGAACATTTGGTAAAAAAATCAAAATATATAAAAACGTTTATAACAATGTCTGAAATGTTATAAATTTAATACACCTAAGTACTTAATGAAGACTAAGTTGTTGAAAACAAAACATTGCATCTAAAATAGTACAGTAAAAACCGTTGTTCCAGTTAAGCCTTAATTCTCTTTCTCTTCCCCCGCTGGAAATTTCGAAAAATCCCTTCTTAATGTTTTCTTAATGTTTGTTTACATGACGTACCCTAACTATGTTCCAAATTTCACCTGTTTAGATTAAGTAATTTGCTCTGGGCTATGATGAATCAGTGACTAAATCAGTCAGTCAGTCAGGACAAGTAATTTTATATATTTAGATTCTTTAAAAATTATATTTTTTATTAGTAGTCACAGGATAAAGTTTACATGTAAGTTTGTACGTTTCATCTCTTTCTGTTGTTTTAGATTACACATAAAAAATCTTAGAATCTGCTTTCCTAATTTTTTTATATAATGTAATTCCATAAGTACACATCCCAGCAAAATTCTTGTTTAACAGTCGATCGATTGCCCATGGGCTGAAGTCAATCATCTGCAGCGTCAGGATGTCCTATCTATTATCAAAGGCATTTCAAGTGGACTGGTCCGATTTGCGCTGTAGTAGGGGTGAGGAAATCGAGCCGGAGGGACTTGGGTGTGCAGTCAAGCCTGATACGGTTGACATTACTAATCACTCATCACTGCGTGCGTAGCGTTGGCTGTTTTTATTTTAAAATCGTAAAATCGCGGCCACTGATTATCAGAAATTATGGTTTTATCTGTTATTTTGATACTTTTCTTTCTTTATAATGTTTTATTTACTTTATTTTCCTGTAATTAGAGACGATACGGCTTTAAAATAAACAGATTAGGTCTCATTTGCCAATAGATTATCTCAACTTTTACCGATTGTCATCGGTTCCTTTGTAATCGGACAGGAATAAATCGTGTTTCAGAGTCCAGTGTTAAGTGTTTATTGCTTTTGTGGTAATTTCAGTACCGCGGGAGAAGTCACTTAATAAACCACCAAGTGTTTTATTACCGTTTAAACAGCTGCTCACCACTTGTTATTCTTAGTAACTAGAGATGGTAAGATCGTCTGTCAAGTTCCGTTAAAGTTTATTACTTTCGCAACAGGGTGACATGTGAGTCGCCCCCACTCTCCACCATTAACGACAACAATGCCCTAAATGTCATAGTACTCTGTAAACAAAAACTCCCTTCCCTGTCAGAAGTGGGTCATATGTACGGTGACCATATATCCTTTATTTAAGAGGACAGTCCTTTATTTCACTGCTCTGTCCTCTAACTTTATTTATTTTATAAAATAGGCATTTTGTAAATTCATTGCAAAGTTTAAAAACTTTTTAATAATATATTTAACAAGTTAGTTTCGTGTACGCCATCATGATCAGTGTTGTCATCGTGTCCGTATGTTGGTACATAGAGCGCGGTAGTGCAGTGTGTCACCAACCAAACTGCCCTTTGACAGTACCAAGGAGCGGACACTCTTATTGAGATTTTTGTGATAGTTTTTTTAACTCTCTGGTTGGTGGATAATACACTTGGAGCATTGGTGAGCATTCGTCGACACTTGTCGACAATCTTCGGGGGCTCGAGCATGTGACATATTTACTGTTAATGTACTAAATAATTGGGACATGTGTTTTATTGAAATAGAAGTTTTGAATGTGTTACATTACTGAAAATCCCTTTGTGGGTGAAGGTAGAGGTAAGCTATATTTTTATTTCGAATCATTGGTCTGTAAATATAGTCGACAGTGAATTATTTGATGAAGTTTCGTGTGTAAAAAAATATGTCACAAACGAAAAGATCGATGAATGGCGACAGAATAACAAGCCCTGCCATTAAAAGTGGGTTGAGATTTTTGCACATTTTACAGCAAAAGAAATTGCTTTCAAAAACATTTGTAAAATCGTAGAATTTTCTTTATGTCTCCCTGGATCTAATGCGAACGAATATTTTTATTGCTGAATAATATGTGGACGAATGAAAAAACCCAGTTAAAAGTAAGCACATTATTTCTGTCAAATACAACTTTCAAATAAACTGAATAGAATTTATGCCTTTATAAGGCGTGAACCAGTGCTATTAAAAAAATTAATTCTACTGAAAAGTATCAAAATTAATGTTATTTGAATTTTTACAATGTGTATGTATGTGTAATAAATGTTATAAACTTATGAATTTTATAAGATTTTTTTTATTTTCTTTGATATGTTCTTTATTTTCCCCCAAAAAATATGGTCACCGTAGTCATATGTCAAGGTTACTGTTTAATTGTATTGAACAGAATGTTGTCCTTGATATTTAACAATCAGTTTTGTCAGAACTGTTTACTTTTAATGCCTTTCTTATAATTTATTTCCTCTTCGGTTATAAAATTGTTTTTATCACGTTTTAAATCGATTTGTTTTAAATTATACTTATATAAAGTTTATGAATTAAAATTTCAATGAACATTCCATTGTTTCAATAAATATTTTGCAAGAGTTCAAGTTTGCAAAAAATGTTTTCATATCTCTTCTTTGTCATTTTATATATATTAATAAAATATATTACCATTTTATAAACAGATCTTATTGTATTCAATTTTTTTATTACTTTGTACTTAAATTCATATTATATTCGAATCGACCTTTTATATTTTGTAAATATTCACGTATCACATGATGTGTCATTCGTTTAATTGTATACTACTTATGTAATGACTATTTTTATATTATTTATGTTCCTTTTATATTTTTAAAATTACTTTTTAAAGCTAATATGATGCAATCTACGAATGGCAACTTTCCACGCATCACATAGACTTTTTACAGGAAAGCCATCATTGCTGGCGTGAAGTTGTTTATCCAGTGGGAAAGTGCCATTCAGGAACAATGCGCATTCAACGGCTCATTTGCATAATGTGATGCATTTATCAGAATATTCGAAGTGAATACCTATAGTAATTGGAAGGATACTATGACCGTAAATAATGACAGATTTTCCTCAATATTATTTATGTCTGTTACCATGAAATTAAATTCAACTGTCGAGGGAATCGAGAGTATATAGAGGCTTTGCTGAAATGCTGGATTAATGAACATTCCTAAACCTCTGGGAAAAGAGATACGTGAGCGTGTTATCGCTAACAGAGCTGAAGGAAAGAGTATTAAAGATATCGCAGAATGCCTACGCATATCCACGAGATCAGTACCAAGAATTATTAAACGACATCAAGAGACCGACTCTGTGTCCCCAGGACGATCGTCTGGACGCCCGCGGATAACCACCTCCTCTCAAAATGAGCAACTGAGAGCGGCGAGCCAGGTGTGTCCATTTGCTACCGCCTCATCGCATAGATCAGCGATGGGGTTGGGTATGTCTATAGAAACTGTAAAGAGAAGGTATGTAACATTTGTAGTATAATATTCCAATTTTCCAACGAAATGTACAGTACTTCTATCGATATGATGAACCGCCAGACATTTTTGTTAACGTGCTCTTGCGTATACAGAAATGTAGGAAGCAGGATAATACATATGTTTTTTATTTATAGGTTGCGAGAGGACAACTTGTTCGGTCGAAAAGCAGCCCAAAAGAAGAACTTAACCATTGGTAACCAAATGGACACGGTAGGTTTCGCCCAAACCTATCAGCATTGGGCTGCTGCTGATTGGCAAATTGTCATCTTTTCGGATGAAAAGATTTTCTGTTCGTCGAACAGCGGGCCTGTGTGGGTGCGTCGCCCACCATCAACCAGATATGAACCCGAATACGCGTGGCGCACCCAAAGAAGCGAGCGTTTTTCGATAGGTGAGTGTTTTAACGTGTTTTTGTGTGTTTATATCATTAACTGTTTGAACATGACAACTTATCTGCTTGTTCATTTTATAAATCGCAATTTTATTGACTTTTTCTGTTTACAGGTATATGCAGATGGATGTCCTCTGCTGGTTTGTTGGGAGTTGGTCCGTATAGACGGTCACCTCACCGCTGTGCTTCATCATACTATCGATATACTGGAGCAAGTACTATTGCCGACGGTGAGGGCCGTCTATGGAAAAGAACGCTTTTTCTTCGTTCATGACAGCTCCCCGGTGCACACAGCTAGCATTGTTACACGATGGCTCCAAGAACATCCGCAAGTCCGACCTTGACAGACGATCTTACCATCTCTAGTTACTAAGAATAACAAGTGGGGAGCAGTTGTTTAGACGGTAATAAAACACTTGGCGGTTCATTAAGTGACTTCTGCCGCGCTACTCAAATTACCGCAAAAGCAATAAACACTTAACACTGGACTTTGAAACACGATTTATTCGTATCCGATTACAAAGGAACCGACGACAATCAGTAAAAGTTGAGATAATCTATTGGCAAATGAGACCTAATCTGTTTATTTTAAAGCCGTATGGTCTCTAATTACAGGAAAATAAAGTAAATAAAACATTATAAGGAAAGAAAAGTATCAAAATAACAGATAAAACCATAATTTCTGATAATCAGTGGCCGCGATTTTACGATTTTAAAATAAAAACGGCCAACGCTACACACACACAGTGATGAGTGATTAGTAATATCAGGCTTGACTGCACACCCAAGTCCCTCCGGCTCGATTTCCTCACCCCTACTACGGCGCAAATCGGACCAGTCCACTTGAAATGCCTTTGATAATAGATAGGACGTCCTGACGCTGCAGATGATTGACTTCAGCCCATGCGCAATCGATCGATTGTTAAACAAGAATTTTGCTCGGATGTGTACATAAAGTAAAACAAGTAAAAAAAAATGACAATCGAAATGAAATTTTCTTCAAGTAATTTGTATACGTGACATCAACCTTCATTCAAATCAATACGTGTAAATTAGTAACTTTTTCTGTTACAATAATAAATTTGTATTTAAATTCAATTCAAGCATACCTGAGATTTGATAGAAACTCAGACACTAGTTCTAATTTGATCAAGCCAGTTGCAATTAGATTCATAATTTTAAACACTGCATTAATTTCACTTTATATTTTATAGATACATCCATAGATCACATAACAAATTTTAAGTTTCGCATTATGATCGGTTGCTGGATTTTAACGACTTTCGTATTGACTACCGGATATCTCGGCATCCTTCCATCTTTCATGATTAATCCGGGAAGTGAATCCATTCCTAAAAATTTTATAGAATTGACGCAAGCAATAAAACAAGGACGATACAACGTCACCATATTTGGGGAAACTGAAGAAATGGATATTTTTCATGTTGACCAGGTTTGTAACCTTTTTTTAAGTTATTATTATCAAATTTTTTACGAGTACACAATTAAATAAAATACCGTATAAGTTCCTAATTGCCCATAAATTACTTAAAAGTTTAATACTTTTTAACTGCTTCTTTTTAACATTTCGTAATGTTGTCATATATACTAATTTTAAAGTTATATAACTCATATACGCTCTCAACTCCTTATTTGTATTAAGGAATGATCTACAACACGAAGTACAGTACCAAACGTTGTATTCTTTTATTAATTACGTGTATAACGTTTAAAATACGGCGTATAAACAGTACGGTTTGCTGTGCAACAACACTTCAGAAACAAAACCAAGAGTTGACATCAGCATTAAATAACTCTTTTACAAACATTCCGCACTTTATTTTTAACAATTGGCTCATACTCACGTATCCATCCTTGCGTTACGTAATCTATATACTGCCGCTAATAAGGATTGCTACTTGAATAATTGGTAATACAGATTTCTTAAACATTATTTTTTACTTAGCCTTCGGGAAGATTAACAGAAAAGGACGAAACAATCCGAACGATTTCCGATAATATTCATATGAATTTACCAGAAAGCAGAAAATTGTATTATACAGCCAGCAGTGAATTTAACAAAGTTCTTAATGGAACCGAAGTATTTATTGGACCAAAATACATCTTAGAGTCAATTATGATGCGATGGGGTAAAGAGAACTTTTACTTATCTCCAGATACCATTTACACCAACTTTCGTTACGTTCAATTTAATTTGGTGAAATTCAATTACGCCGAAGAAGTCGTCAGAATGTAAGTAAAATATCAAACTTAACGAACACTTTCGTGCCTAACATGAAAATTATTCTGTTAACTTACGGTATAAATTCAATTCAGAATAGTTATTCTTCAACAAAGTGGTATTCTAGCAAAAATACAAGCTGATATTCAAGAGGAAAATCGAAGATATTATGAATTTAATGCAGAAAACAACGATAACGAAGAAATATTTCTGAAATTCGAAGATCTCGCAGGTGTATTTTATATGTTGCTTGCAGGGTATGTCGTGTGCTTTGCGATATTCCTCACAGAGATTGTAATCGTTAAATTAAATAAGGTAAAGCACAAAAAATTGAACGCTCTCTTTAAGAATTAATTGAAAAATGCTTGATAATTGATAGTATACTTTTCCCGTAAGTAATCATAAGTGTATCGTTATACGCTTTATTGAATCTATTTGCTGAAATTTTTATTGTAATTCAAAGTGGTTACTGTTGTATCCGTGTGTGTATTTAAAATATTACTATATAATATAAACAATTAATTATTGTGAAATTTATACAATTTTTTTTTCACACTACAAATATTTATTGTTGCCTGAAACGTAAATCTGTTTTTATCTAAATAATAAAAAAAAAAACCAGTGATATCCTGTAAAACATACAAGTGCCGGAAAGCATGCATAGATAATCGTTTTCAAATTATTAGCGTTTTATCTGAGATAAACTGTACATTTTAGTATAATAAAGTACGATACTTTCATTCAATGTATATGTGCAGTATTACATTTATAATTACAATGAGTGATCGATTATCGAACATAATCCATTCCAAGACCATATTCGATACCTGAATTGTTTGTTATCGGATTATCGATTTACCATAGACGTTTTACGGGAATTTGATTAATTCGTTCTGGAGACTCCAAAAAATAAATAAATAATTGTATACTTTCTTACTATGTTAATTTATATGTAATAATAAAAATACATGAATACAGAGTCTTGCATTTTTGTCAGTTATGTTTTTTTTTTTCGGTTTGTGGGACGTTAAAGAATCTGTCCAATGTCGATTGCTTTTCTCTGTTCTTCAGTATTTTTCAAAAGTAATTAATAGCATTGTCGTTGTAGAGATCTTCAAGTCTTAATCTCAACCTGGTTTAGATGCCATTCTAAAATCGTTGTTCTGACATCCACTTATTCAAATGACCTTTAAGCAATTTCCATTCCGAGTGGAAAATAAAATAAACAATAAAAATGTCGAACGAAGTAATAAATAACAGTTTCGAAGACAATTCTGTCGGCTGGGAGCGGTGGCTCGTTCCTGTAATCCAGCTTCTGGGAGGCCGGAACTAGAGGACAACTTCGTAGATAGAAAATGCCTTCGCGAAGTACTACCATGACCGGATGTCCGCACGAGGAACGACGTTGTTTCGGTGGTCTCAACGAACATTCGGGGTCACCACGAAAATAATTTAAAGACAGGAAAATAACTGCCTGGGTGTTTCACTTATACGAGGCGAAAGTCTCTGAATTGTTCGATAGTGGGATGGTCTGTGAGTTGGTCCGCGTGGGCATTTTTTCTATAAGGTTGGACCTAGTTCTGCATTTTATTTCAAAACTTATTATTTTCGTATTTTTTATTTTGACGGAAATTCTTTTAGTTATGCTTGTCTCGATAGACGGCGTCATCGACAAATCGACTATACACGTTCGAATGAATATCCAGATGGCACAACGCGCTGATTGGTCGGCTGAATGACGTCAACCCACCGAAAGCTGGTCGATTATATTTTGTGCTCGTCAGAACGAAGTCGTGCAGAAATAGATTATTTTTTTTTAGTTGTAATATTGAGTGAGTATAAAGTGAAAATACAGTATAAAGTTTAGCTCGCGTGTTTTTTTAAATTCATAATAATAATTTTAAAATGGTTTACTTTTACTTAATAATTTACTAAGATTATTTATTTTTTTGAACGAATTTTAACTTTATACTTGATCTTTATACACCTCTGAATCAAATCATACACAATAAATAATTTTAATAGAGCGATTAGTGTTTTAAATTTAAATATACGTGCACAGATAATGAATAACAGAAAATTTATAATTTGTTACAGATATTATTTATAAAAAGTTCGAGAAAGGATGAAATTTATAATTAAGACGAGTCAGAATATTTATTGAATTTGTCAAATGCATTTAACATAGTTAGATGAAACAATAAAATTAACTGAGTTTTGTATACCTCTGAAAGAGAAATGTTCACAAATCTTGATTAACAAATTATAAAGTTTAAATGTAAAAGTTATTGAACAATTTTGAATAAAGAATAGGCCTATTCTCCAAAGATTACTCTCATCAGAAAAAATTTTTTAATGCTTTAGTTAGGATTGACAGTTCTTTCTGTCAATAGATATTTTGTGCTTTTGAATGTCAGTTCAAAATCTGTGTGTTAAGAAACAATACAGTCGATCCCCTATAACACCGGTTCCTATAGTTCGGATTCCTATATCACGGCGAAAAAATTGCGACAGTATTCGTACAAACGTGCCAAAAAACCTCCTATAATTTGGGAAAACATCATCACCGACTCGTGTCGCGACAGGATTAGTCGAATCTAGACCAATAGCGGATATTGCACAAACCGTTGAGTTTAAACGAGCAGCGGACCTACTAAAAACCATTTATTATTTAACTCCATAAAAATTATATTTATATTAATGATGTCTCTAAAGTTCAGCGAATTTTTCGCAAAAAAATAATTTATCAGGAAGCACGCGAGCGCCATTCCATGACAATCTCCATGACGTCAACAAGCTTAAGCAACGGCGTAGTCGAACGGTACACACTCGGCAAGTAATCCTATAATTTCTTGTTTATAGCATAATTTATATGAATTATTCCCAAAAAAATTATACGTATTTTGGAAATGTTGAGTCGAATTAGTCTAGAATCAATTAACTTTATGGAAGAAAACCTTTCAAACAGCCGTAGTCCGTAAACTGCATACGTGGCGGGCTGTGATTGGCAAGGTCTCCTAGAAGCTGGATTCATAAAAACAGGAACGTATCTACCGAGTTATAGGGGGTCAACTGTACTTCGCAGATTTACAGAAATTTCAT